AGAACTCCCAGAAGTACAAGCTGGATTTAGAAGGGGCAGAGGAACCCGAGATCAAATTGCTGCGCTGGATTATGGAGAAAGCCAGAGAGATCCAGAAAAGCATCTACTTCTGCTTCATTGGCTATGCAAAAGCATTTGACTGTGTGAACCACAGCAAACTATGGCAAGTCCTTAAAGAAATGGGAGTGCCTGACCACCTTATCTATCTCCAGAGAAATCTATATGTGGGACGGGAAGAAACAACTAGAACTGGATATGGAACAACTGATTGGTTCAAAATTGGGAAGGAGTACGACAAGGCTGTATATTGCCTCGTGCTTTTTTTAACTTATATGCAGAATACATCATGCGAAAGGCTGGATTGGGATGAATCCCAAACCGGAATTAAGATTGCCAGGAGAAATATCAACAACTTCAGATATGCAGATGATGCCACTCTGGTAGCAGAAAGTGAGGAGGAATTAAAGAACCTCTTAATAAGGGTGAAAGAGGAGATTGCAAAAATTAGTCTGAAGCTCAACATTAAGAAAAACTAAGGTCATGGCCACTTGTCCCATCACCTCCTGGCAAATAGAAGGGGAAGATATGGAGGCAGTGACAGATTTTACTTTCTTGGGCTCCATGATCACTGCAGATGGTGACAGCAGCTTGCAAAAATTAGTCTGAAGCTCAACATTAAGAAAAACTAAGGTCATGGCCACTTGTCCCATCACCTCCTGGCAAATAGAAGGGGAAGATATGGAGGCAGTGACAGATTTTACTTTCTTGGGCTCCATGATCACTGCAGATGGTGACAGCAGCCACAAAATTAAAAGATTCCTGCTTCTTGGAAGGAAAGCAACAACAAACTTAGACAGCATCTTAAAAAGCAGAGACATCACTTTGCCAACAAAGGTTTGCATAGTCAAAGCTATGGTTTTTCAAGTAGCGATGTATGGAACTGGACAATAAAGAAGGCCGACAGCCGAAGAATTGATGATTGGACTGCAAAGAGAACAAACCTATCCATTCTGAAGGAAATCAACCCTGAGTGCTCCCTGGAAGGACAGATCCTGAAGCGAGGGTCCAATACTTTGGTCATCTCATGAGAAGAAAAGACTCCCTGGAAAAGATCCTGATATTGGGAAAGTGTGAAGGCAAGAGGCGAAGCGGACGACAGAGGACGGGATTGTTGGACAGTGTCATTGAAGAGACCAACATGAATTTGACCCAACTCCAGGAGGCGTGCTCTGGTCCATGGGGTCATGAAGAGTCAGACACGACTTAACGACCAAACAACAACACCCACCCCACCATCCTGTGAGTTTCTGTGGCTAAGTAGAGATTTGAACCCTGTGCCCCTGAGTCATTGTCTGATGCTCTATCTGCTACATCACAGTCTTTAAAAGAAAAATAATGTTTTCCTTGGTCAACCCAAACATCAGGATGGTTTGGCCGAGGTTGGAAGTAATTCACTACAAATAGTAACTTTAATTAATCCTATTTTCATATATCAAAGGTATATTACAGTATTAACTAAACAGGGGATAACATCATTCTAACATTCATTAAACAAAGGATAACATTTGCAGAGTGACTCCTTTGTCAAGTGTGGCCTTATTAAATGGTAAGGAAGGAATACAGACTTCTAACAGATCTCGAAAAGGAAGCCAAACCGTTGAAACATCAACTCTCCCCCTGAGTCCTAGCAAACAACATTTTTGAAAGTCTTTTTATTTGTCTGTGGCCACACTGTAGTATCAACAAAGAATAGTACAGGACTGAGTGTTCATTTTAAACTGAAAAGAAAAACAAACGCAGCCACCTACTGCTGCAAACCAAATCTTCACAGAACAGCTGTCTCCCAGGCTATTACTTCTGGCGCTCTCCACAGCCAAACCATTTAGAGGTAAAGCTAGACTATTTCAGAAGCAAGAATAAAATAAACCTTCAGCCAAGGTGGTGACTTCATGGAAAGTGTTCCCTCTTGCCTTTGCTCCATTTGCTTCCAACATTAGCACCTTTGCCTCATGTATAACTGCAGGGGTCTCTGCTATTTATTGCAATATATAAATAGCACAAAACTATTCAGAGTAGGAGTCTCAGCATTTTCCTTACAAAATAAATCTATTTTCAACTGTAAAACCTGACTCTCTCTTTCTAGTCCCTGGGGGTGGGGGTGTAAAACTTCATTGTGAGGTACAAGAGTAGATTGGGATGCTGAGAGCTATTGTCTCTCATGTCTGTCAGGTTCCATCATCACGGAAACTGCATGCATTGTGAGGTGCCACCCACCTGTACCAGATGCCACAAGGTTCCCCCTACCCAGTGGTGGACATTCATTCACATGTGTACACATACGGCAAGATATTAATTCCCCTGCATATGCACATACATACAGAGAGAAAGGCATTCACTGAGACACTATCATCTCCACCTCAGTTAGTCATACAACTGTGCTGAGAAACATCAGGTCACTCCTTCCCTTCTCCATACACAGTACAGTATTCCCATACATTGCCACTGTCCTCTCCCCCCTCCCCAAAGCATGAGGCAG